TTGGTCAGTATAAAAGAAATAGAAGTCTATGGAAAGTCCCCACAATTCACAGAAACAAACGTGTGTGTGTGTGTGTGTGGGGGGGGGGCTGCTATGTGTTATTTCATTTGCACCTCTTTAACCCTCTTTTCTCTTCCCGTCAGCTCCCAGCAGCCAAACTTTGATTATCATGCTGAAGTGGAGGCTTTCAGTGCCCGACTGCAGGAGAGTTTCTCTGTGGAGCTTCTGAAGACGGCGTTTGTGAACACGTGTTACCTGCGATCTGAGGAGGAGAGGAGGCGAGCGCTGGGCCTTGATTTGGAGACGACCACCCTCAACCTGAAAGACAACGGCAAGCTGTGTGTGCACGGTCAACAGTTCACAAAGGTGAGAACACTGATGAGTCTCATGCTCAAAAATTGGTATGATATTCACATTCCTCTCTTTACATTGTTTTGTACAGGGTTTCCTCAGTGACTGGTGCAGGGGCAGCTTTCCCAGCCTGCCTGAGGAGGGTGTGGCAGCCGTCGTAGGCCACCTGACAGGGTCAGAGGTCATGTGTCACGTCGCACAGAACCTCGCAGTGGAGGATTTGACGATGAGTGCAGAGTTTCCTGTTCCAGATGAAACCCTGCAAGGAACGTTCTTCGCTGTGATTGGTGCTCTGGAGCAGAGCAGCGGGCCTGTGCGAGCCGGGCTTTTCATTAGAGTAAGACAAGAGTCCTCTTAAAGTTAACTTTTCATGGTTTTTTTTTTTTATATATAAAAAAATGGGATGTGCAACAGCGATCGAGTACTCGACCGTGACAGCTGCGATCGATCATGAAAACGATGAGCGTGGATTTTTTTTTTTTTTTCTTCTTCTTCTTCTGATTGGTTATAGCTGCAATTTGGGCAGCACTCTGAGCTCTGATTGCAACAGCATGTGGTCCAAAGTATAGATGTGAGAAGAGAGAAGCATGGTTCACTGGCATTTCATCAACACAGCATTATAATTAGAACTTTATAGAACTGAAATCTATAGTAAATTCTGTCTGCTTTCCTTACCCGTGTTTCAGCACGCTGTCATGAAAGTGCATCACGGAGGGAGCTCTCTCACGATATAGCGCGTAACTTAAAGTTCACTGGCATTTGCATCCTTTTGTGCAGATACAAGTTGTAATGTTACATCTATGTTATATCATTATAGAATGTTTATATGTTATTGTATATTTTTGATTATGTTATTATATATTATAAGATTTTTACCAAGACAGCATTTATCTGGCCAGAAATACAGTAAAACAGTAACATTGTGATATACCATTATAATTTAATATAACATATTTAATTTTATATTTGTTTAATTTTTTGAATTATATGTTTGTTTTTTGAAAAATTTTATAAATATTATATATA